AGAACGACAATCCATGTGATGATGAATGATGACAATCGTCTTTCGAAATAATTCGTGTACGTACGAGTTCATAGTTCGTACCATACCATATGTACCTGTACGAGTTACCGATTTCGATGAGAGAAAACAAAAACTAGGGGCAACAGGTGTGATTACATGCCGAATCAAATTGCCCTGGTCTGGAATGATTCCAGGCTCATACGAAAATAATGCCGTTACGATCAAGGCTGTCAAATCGATCGATTAATCTTAAGTTGGACTGTTAGTTAACAAACCGTCTGATCAGCAAGCGCACAAGAGCAAGAATTTGTCATGCCGTCTTCCACTACCGACTCCAACAACAACACGACCGAAGGGAGCTTGCGATCGAATACGGTCCGATCCTTCAAGGTGATGGACGTTTTGCGCGGCGCGAACGAATTGCAACAACGCCTGGATCGAGAATACGCGTCCGCGGTCGCCTCCGGAAAGAGTCCCGAAGCCCCGGAAAAGGTCCTTCACCTGGAAGTTGGGCAACCCGAATCGGGAGCTCCCAAAACGGTTGCCGATGCTGCGGTGGAAGCACTGACGATGCCCCGGGCCAAGACAAACGTCATGGGTTACACTGATGCCTTTGGTCTRCTGGATTTGCGGCAGCGAATACGCCAGCACTACGTCGAGAAGTACAGCAACTCTGACGACAGGACCGAACAACAACAACAGAGCCTTTGTGTTCCAGACGTCTCGCAAATTGTAGTGACCACGGGGAGTTCCGGTGCCTTTTTGTTGGCCTTCACGGGATGCTTCGATCCAAGTGACACGGTGGCGATTGCCTCGTCGGGGTATCCGTGCTACAGAAACATATTGCAGGCCCTCGGCTGTGAAATTGCCACCGTTCCGATAAACGACGAATACAAAATCACGGCCACAGAGCTGAGCCAAGAAATCCGAGACCGACTCGCGGACGGCCGTCCGTCCATCAAAGGGCTGATTTTGTCCTCTCCCTCGAATCCAACGGGCGCTATGCTAACACCGAAAGAATTGAAGGAATTATGCGATCTCTGCAACAAAGAAAAGATTGTCTTCATGTCGGATGAAATATACCACGGTATTTCCTACGGGAACGTCCCAGAGGCTACGGCCTTGCAGTATGCGGCGGCAGACACCGAGCACMCCGTGAACGAGAACATYGTGGTCATCAATAGTTTTTCGAAATACTACTCCATGCCCGGTTGGAGATTGGGTTGGATGGTTGTACCCCCACGGTTCGTACAAGCCATCAACAAACTGCAGCAAAACATGTTCATCAATGCGCCGACCGTCAGCCAAACCGCCGCACTCCGGTGCTGGGACGAAGAAACCATTCAAGAACTGGAAACTCATGTTACGAAGTACCGAGCAAACCGGGAAGTAATTCTAGCTCGCTTCGAGAGCTCTTCTCGTTCCCCCGGTGGAGAGAAACAACAAGTCCTTAAGGGCCTGACTCTCGAAAAGAACGTCGCACCGGCCGACGGTGGTTTTTACGTATACGTCGATCTGGGCGAGGACAATATTTGCATCAACGAGAATGCCAATCTGGACTCTGTTTCCATGTGTGAAGAACTGCTGTTTCGTTACTACGTGGCATTTACACCTGGAATCGACTTTGAAGATCCGAACTGTCCGAAGAACATGGGACGGCGCCGGTTCCGTATCTCGTATGCGGGTGGAACCGAGAACATCCGCAAAGCGATGGACAAATTCACAGAGTTTTGGAATTCATTTTGGTTGGTAGAAATCGCCAATGCCAAGAATTTAGTCTAAAAGCGGAAACCCTAGTATTACTTATTGAATTCATTGAGATTTCTTCTAGTTTGTGTACTTCCAGATAGCGTCGGTTTTACACGATGGCTCTTACTTCAAATCAAGCTATTTTGAATTCTTTTTTGGATCAAACTTTCTACAAAAGGCATGGACATCGTCGCTCCTTTCGATAGCGTCAATATTTTCAAAACGGTGAAGCTGCCACATTTCCGTCATCATGCGTTCCATTTCTTCTGCCGATGCTGGTGAGACGTTGCAGTTGGTTCTCTTGTGACAACTCTCATGAACAACCCCCCAAGCTTTGAATCCAAGTAAAAAGTGATCCTGGCCCAAGCTTGTCAAGAAAAGCACTTTCAATTCCCCTGCGGATAGGTTTGATGTCGATATTATCTGCAAGAGGAGTCTGCATGCATGGGGCACAACGACGGGTTGAAAGATACCACACATTCCTCCCAAAAGAGCATTCAGTATGTTGGTTCTGAGACCCAAATTGTATTCTCCGGTCAACTTGTTGCTTCTAAATTGAGTAACAAGTGTTGCGACTGTTTCCAAAAAAGCTATAGCTTGTAATGATATTTCAGATTGTGAGTCTACGATAGAGGAGACCGCCGAGTCCAAGACTGTGCGCATCATCGACAAATTAGAGGTGCTTTCGTATCCGTAGTTGCCCTCGTTCCCATCGGGTGCCCCGTCCACAATGTGGAAGAAAAAGTTAGGACACAGCCTCGCACACGTGCGGAGAACCGAAAACAAAGGCCCAAGTCCAACGTTACAGAAGTCCAAAGGCCTGTACTCAGGTTTTCTTTTGGTCTCGAACGCAGACTGGCCGTTTCCTTGCTTCTCGATAGTTGCCCATGCACTCCCTAGCAAATTTTGACTTGTCATGACAGTGATTGTTTCTCGCATCAGCGTCTCTACACACCGGTAGATTTTTGCAGCGTTTTCCGAATAAGAAGATGTGTACTTTTGGTTCTTGGGTTCATCGGCCTGTTTCGATTCCGTGATCATCTCGAAAACGGTTGCGTGGGCTTGGATCAATGCATCGACTAGATCGAAGACGGGGGAAAAAAATCGGTTGTTTTGCCGGACATTTTYGCTTTCTATCAACTTTTTCGCCAGTGTACAAACATCTTGTAAAAATATTGTTGAAACGTCGGTGAACTTTCCTGCAGGTGAACATTCGACAAAAAGTACGCTCAGAGAGTCTAGTATTGACTGCATTTAATTCAGACGGAATCGATTTGAAAAAGCGTTGAGGTGAGAAATTGGCTTGAAAGACAATGCTCCTATTTTGTACTATCATAGCACCCCTTCTTTACTCACGTCGTGAAAACTATATTTCGATGCCAAAATTGATATTGTCGGCCAAGCACGTAGTAGGACTGTCATTGATGGTTCTACGAGAGAGACTCGACCATTTCCTGTCCCCAGTGGTCCTGCTGATGCAGCATTCGTAAAAGCTCTAGCAGTTGTCGCAACTATGATTATTTCATCGGAAGCCCTATCTAGTATGGATGACAGCGTCTTTTTCTCTTCCACTGAAGTTATAGAATTTGCCCTTTCAGTCATCGTCTCCAAACACGCTATTGATGCAAGCGCCAAAGCCATCAACGATGTTTTTTGCTGTTCTTTTGGTAGGGCTGCAAGTACGTGACAAATCCCAATGCACGTGTTCTTTCGATCTTCCAAAGTCAACAGCTTGTCCCCTCGATTACATGCAGCAAAAGTGGATTCCCAACCAGCTGTTTTTTTAAAAAAAAACGAAAGGAATGAGATACTGAACAACATAAATAAGTCGTTGAYCTTGCATATTTGTCTTCGTTGATTCACGTACCTCCCAATGCTGCAATCGCCTTATTTGATAGAAAATGATTTGAGTTGTTGCTAAGCAAACAACGTAATGCCTTCGAGGCTTCAGAGTACGGTGTTACTCCGGTCTCTTTGCGAATAGTTTTTGAAAGTGCTGTGTCAGGAAATGTAGTGGCACATTGGCTCAAGATGAAGAGGATCAAGTCAGCGGCAATATCCAAAATACCAGGATGTTGGTTCGAGCCAAACCACTTATGGTACTGAAAGAAACAAAGAGAGATTATTGTGAGATCATTGCATGCGATACCATGCCGTATGGCTGAGGATGACATTCAAACACAACTAATACTTACCTTTCTCAAAAACTGGCACGTCTGCGCCATCGTCAGCGGGTTATTCAAGCTCTTGGGTTTCTTTGCTAGAGCAGCCGTGCACCGCAAGAGGTAACCAGAAGCGTTAAAATTGGTTTTCTTTCCCACCTTCCCCATAGGCTTTGATGACTTATCTGCAACTAGAACACTAGGTAAGACCAACTCAGATACTGCTGCTAGACAAAACAATGCTGCCTCCAAATGGAAGGAAGTTTGTTCTGTTGTAACATCTCCCACACAAAATTCTTCGATAGCGGCAGTACAAGAAGCCAAGTAGTACTCGGAATGGATCATATAGCACGAATTCAATGCGTCCGCTAGAACAGTGTCCCGAAATCCATCRACAAATTCTTCGAATTCTACAAAGCAAACATCCGASGCATTTAAAAGCGGAATGTACACATTGTCCTTCACTCTWCCAATGTTGCTCGAAGATGAAAGAATGACAGAATTCTTGGAATGGTGCGGAATAATCGCACGCCGCTGCAATGTTGGCAGCCATTCAGTTGCTAAGCCAACCTCTGTTTTGAGAACGGGCGTAATTATCGGCAGAACGATGCCGCAGATCGCCACCGATGGATGGGACGCGCATTTCGACAATAGCTGCAAGAAACCCGCTCCTGGAATCTGATAAAGGCTGGGGGTCGTGCTGGGAACCCTAGATGATATATCGCCCTGCATGACCTTCGAATATCCCGAGCACACCGCCGCTGCAATGCGTGCAAGTGAATGCCCTAATGAATGCACACAATCGTCAAACATTGACTCCACCTGTGGAGCGTTCGATTGTTGTTTCGCTTTCTCTGGTTTTCGGACACCTCCAAACAATGGAAATCGAAATCTCTGTCGTTCCACATCTGCAGCAAGTTCTCGCAGTATGTCGCTGAGCTCTTTGGTCTCGATCACGTGCAGTTGCTCCTGAGAAACATTAGCACGAAAAGATATTTCGTCGGGAACCTGCATCAAATATCTCGTTTGCGTCATCCGAGCGTCGCTGATCAATTCCTTGTGTAAGTTTGAAGTGGATAGGGTTTGTGGAACTACGTGTCGCTCTACAACGCTCTCAATCAAATCCGCCAGGGCGCTCATTACTTTCGGAGATTCAGTATTCAGGGCTTCTCCTAGTAGATGAGATAGATTGATCTACAAAAAAGTGGAGTCGAGGGCGATAGATGGGAAAATGGGAAATGAGGCGAAGGTGCAGAGGTGGCTTCAAAATCAGATGTCTATGGACTTGAAGCGCAATCAACAGCAACGTAAATAGAGCGAGAAGGTTTTTAGCTTACCTTTACCTTGCTCCCTATATGCTTCGTTTGTGCAAGACTCAGATCGGTCGTTGCGCACCATGTGGAAATTGCCCGCAATCCCATCGCAACAATGGCGTCGTCGTCGTCGTCGTCGTCGTCGTAAGCTTTAGCGTTGCTACTGCCGCTTTCCCCAGCAGCTGCACTCTGCCACTGGTACTCCCTCAGCTGCCGCTTTAGCTGCGTTCGCTTGAGTCCATCACGTAGAACGGGCCCTAGCAGGACGTTGGCCATGACTGGCAGCGACAAGCGCTGGAGCACATCGATCGTTCCCAAGGGCGATACCGCGCTGGCGGTTCTCGAGTTGGCATCAACCAACGGGGACGCAGCTTGCGCTGCTTCAGAGGATGCTTCCGTACTCGACGTTGTCGAAGACTCTCCCGCTACGTGGTACAAAACACACGCCAGTGAGTAGGGCGGTAGCCTGTGGTGGAGCAGTCGATTCGTGTTGGGGGATAGTTTTTGTCGCTTGGTGGTGGTATCGATCGGCTTGTTTCCTGTCCCGATCGGTATGCCCTGCAGTGCAGTATTCGAAGAATTGTTGTCGTGTACCAGGGTGAAGGTATCATCACCCACCGTTGCTCCTGGAATGATCCAGTCGTTCAGAAACCTGCGCAGTTTTTCCGGACCGTTCGATACCGCGTTTGCCGCTAGAAACTTGCAGAATGTTTCCACCACCAGGGGATCTTCAAGGGCCGAGGACATAGAGAATGATTGTGATGCCGACGCCGATAGTGAAGTTGGCGACGACGACAGAGATCCTGCAGGTGCCGAGGTCTTGTTGTTGAATGAAAAGGCCGCGATTCGGCCTGTAACGATTTCCCGGATCTCGGCGTTGGCCCGAACCATTTCCGGTATCAGATCGTTCGTGTTGCTCCTATTTCCAGTGCTGCTACTGCTGCTCAGCCCCCTGTTCGCTGCCATGTCTTGAAAGTGCCGATTGGCGTCCCCGGAGGTGGCTTTGGTGGCATCGGCACCCAAACCGTCTCTCGCACTGGCGCTCGCATTGCCCCTACCGCAAAAGTTTTCCACGCACGTTGCAACCTTTTGTCGATCGAGATCGTCCGATCTCCTCGCAACCTTGACCGCCAACTCCGCCAGGAGCCTCGTTTCCGAAAGTAGATGAGGAGGGAGGGCTACCGCTGCTGCCCCTGTTGCCGCTGCCTGCCGCTGCTCTAGAAGCAGAAGGCGCTGTCGTTCTCCCTCGAGTCGCTCGATCTCGTTCATGGCCTGGTGCAAAAAGTTCCAGCACCCAAAAATCTTGATCCGGTTCTCCCCCTCGGTGTGCGGAGGTGAAGCCGTGTCGGCATCCAGCACATAGACGCTGCAGGTTTGGTCGAGGAAGGACCGCGCCGCGGCAGAGGCTGCTGCTTCGTTGTTTGCAATCTGGCTGGCATTTGCATTTCCACCAGCGATTGTATCTTCCGGGCCGTGTGTTGGCGATCGGAGGGCCCGCGTCAGGACATCGATGGCGGCCGTTCTCCGGGTTTGTGGTGCACGAATCGGGGTCGTTGCGGTTTCGACTCCGCTATTGGCTGAGGTATCGGCAATAGTGCCCCGCCCTTCCATACTACAGAACTCAAGCTGGTCTTTCGATTGGCTTTCGAATCGTTCACGCGTTTGTTCGCTCACAGGTAGCTAGTCCAGTCCAGTCCAGTCCAGTCTAGTCCAGTCTAGTCCAGTCTAGTCCAGTCTAGTCTAGTCTAGTCCAGTGGTAGCCTAGCCCAGTCTACTCTAGCCTACCCTAACCTAACTTTTCGACTACGATACGTTCACTGGAACCGGGGCTACTTCTCTGCGCTCTGCTTGCATTACAGTTCTGAAGTCAATGCCAATCGAATCGAACACACCTGAGAGATTTGGTAGCAACTACTTCCGAATATGGTTTAGCTCKATAGAAGATATTCTAGACGACGGAAAACAAGTACGAGTAATATGCTGATGGAATAGAAATTCGTACTCGCCAGGCTGGAACCGGAACCCTCGACGGAAGATCATGAAACAGTGGACCGTGTAGTAGGAGTAGAAAGTATTGCACTGTATCGTACGATGCTTCTAGTACCCAGCGCACGAGTATGTGTTGTATCTAGCGTATGATGTGTGCTGTACAATGTACGATGGTGTAGGTATCGAAAATGGTGACATCACCCCCRACATCAAAATCACAAGCAGGACTGACGACTCCCATCGGCTACGAATATGGTACGGTACTTACGGTATTCTACCGTTTCCGTAGCTCGCTATGCGTGTACTGTATGTGTCTCTTCGGCCATCAACAAAGTGAGGAAGGAAGACAGCGACAGGAGCTCATTAACTTGTGCACATGAGGATTTTACAGTATTGTGCGCCAGTACTGTGCGGATAACTGCTTGTATTCGTACAACTAGGTGACATGATGTCCCCCTTTTTGTTCCTGACGTCACAGGGGTGTCAGGGTTTTTCGAGACATCTCCCTCTGCTTCTCAGATCTGCTTAGATATTTTTTAATGATTACCACCACTGAGCAAAACTTCGTTTCGGCCGCATTGATTGAACGGGAGAAGAGATAACCGTACCGGTACCGTAGGATGTTACGAATAAGAGTAGAATAGAACTACGTTCTGTACCTAGTACCATATCATACTGAAGATACTRTACATACGTACTATGATTTGACGATGCACTTACTCGCTCGATCCTACCGGCACGTACGACGGTACCGTACGTAGCATCTATCTGGCAGGCGTCTAAATTTATGACCCCTGCCTGGCATCTTGCAGGTACTGGTCGAGTACCAAATTTTTGCAACCGATGTTGCAAAACGGTCGAAGGAGTCAATCAGTACTTAAATTACGTAGGGTTTTACGTAGGCTATAACACGTCACTTAGCCCCACTCCATTTACCACCGTACTTACCTCCCCTACATAAATTCTGGTAGGATTTCTACTGTGCAACCGTATTGGCTTTTCTGCTGTGGTCGCATCCGTACCTCTTTTGGTTTCCTAACACATAGCAAATTACACTGAATATGCAACCATTTTGCAACTCCTTTGCCTTGTCACGAGAGGTGCATTTTTTGCTCACAAATCAGTCCTCGCATACCGATACGGTTCAAGCAAAACCCCAAGCAAGCAAATACTNTCGATCCTACCGGCACGTACGACGGTACCGTACGTAGCATCTATCTGGCAGGCGTCTAAATTTATGACCCCTGCCTGGCATCTTGCAGGTACTGGACAAGTACACAAAGAAAATATAACTAAAAATGCAACCATGTAGAATACAGTACATAAGACTCGTAGGTCTTATAGACAGTGCACGACAAGACTGGAGTGCTGGAGTATCAGCGTGTTTGATGAGAAGTACTCACACBATCACGCACAAGGCAAATTCTATAGAAAAAAACCAAGTCGGGAGAGTAATTCTCAACAATCACGTCGATAACGACAACACCGATACSAACACTCCTGTCAGCTAACAAGATGGTCCTCTTAGTGAGGATAGGAGGATAGCAAAATACAGCAAAATACTACAGTTCACATATACACAGTACACTATATTTTTATGATTTTTCGATATAAGGGGGGGACAAGTAGTAAGGAACAAAGAAGCATCGACGTCAATGATCGACGTCAACGATCGTCGACAGCAACGATGTCAACGACGTCGACAATCATTACTAAAGCAGGGGAAAAGAAGACACACGCAACAAAGAACAGCGTCAACATCAACAAGGACAAGGACAATTAAGAAGCATTGACCACGACAACAAAGAACAAACGACCGTCGATAAAGAAGCGGCCGGTCCTCTAAGCAAGTGGTGTCCCCCGGCTGCTTCATGGGGAGCCATGGCTCTAAGAATGAATGAAACGCGCTTCGAAGGGCCTCCATATACTGCATAAATTCTTCTTACAGCCACTTCAGAAGAACAACCAGCTCTGATGAGTCTTTCCATGCACTTCCAGAACTTCAAACGCCTGCAGTATTTGCTCTTTACACGACCTCGCTCAGCAGCAGAAAACTCCTTTGCAGGCTTATTCAAACCAACACCCACTTCCCATTCATTCCAGAGGACATAAAGATCATTAGGACACTTGCACAGCTTCGGTACTTCAGTTCCTGCACCAGCACCAGCTTCCGACGCCCCACTGTTTACAGCTCGGACGATCCGACGTCTTGCTACAGGGGCCATTGCAGCTCTTTGGGACAGCTCAATCGCTCGATTGAGCTTCCTATTGAACTTTGCTTCAGCTGCAATTTGTCGATTCTTAATATCATTCACTTGATTAGCTGTGGCAAACAGCTTTGAAAACATTGCGTGGTTCCACTGCAACTGAGTCCTTCTAATACCAAGCGCAGTCCCACCAGCAGCTCCAGGGGCTCCTCCGCCAGCACCATCCAGCAGATCATCCGGATCAGCAAGCTCATCGAAGTGAACTTGCCCACTGAATTCATTAGCAGTGACCTCAACTTTCTTGATAGGATTCACGTCGCCGTCCAATCTTTGAGGACCATGACTGTGATTGAGTTGAACCCAAGAACCGACGACATCCTGCTTTACATCCTCAGGAATCAAGCCGGATGCCTGCATTGCTGGATCACAGCAAGCCCAAAGCAATGCCTTTCCTAGGATTGCTGCAACTTGATTACCAAACACATTGGCAATATTAGGAGCAACTGAAGAAGCAAGCCACTCGTCAGTCACTCCTGTTCCATGTAGGGGCTTGTACTGACAAATTCCTCCAAAGCATAACTTACTAGCAACATTAATATCAGGCCACGCAAGCTGTGTGTCAGTATATCGATCCTGTTGCCAACGCGACTTCCATCGAGCTCTATAATCCACCTCATCCCTTGTGCAACCACACTGCCTTGCATATGTTGTGGCATACTTCCGAATGGAGTGAGTACCAAGTTTTCCTTCTGATGGTGGTCTTTCATGGATAAAGACAGGGTTCTTGAACGCGTAGCGCTTGATGAAATTAGAGTATGCAGCCTTCCCCTTATTCACCTCTTTTGCAACATCCTTTTGTGGTGATCTACTATCTGTAACTCCTTCAGTGAATAACCATTGACTTGCTGCTCCATCGCCTTTGCACCACTTTTCAAGATACAAGGCAAGCCCCAGTACAACACAAGCCCGATGATCCATGGATCCCAGCAAGATCTGCTTTGGGCAATCGCGTTACTCCCTTACATTCTTAGACCACTTCATCTTTGCTGTAAGGAAGCCAGGAAATTCAGCAGATCTTTCCAAGCTATCCTTTCCAACATGTGCTGTATCATCATTCCAACCAATCAGATGAAACTGGAACTCAATCATTGCAAGATATCGGAGCCTTTTGATGAGATGGCCATGATTCCCCATCAGTTCTAGTGTTTGCAAAAACTCATCCTTTGTAAGAGGCATATCCATGCTGCTCGCTTGTCCAAGTCCTCTTGTTTCCTTCTTGATTACAGCAGATATCAAATCGTTCACTTGCTGGGACTTAGTAGGATTTCCACTGCCAACGCCAGCAATAACAGTCCATTTGTGCAGCTTGTTTGGCATGAAATAGGAGATTGCTTTCTTGTAATAAACAAGGGAGGAACTCCTTCCTTCAGTAGGATTATCATCCACACCAGGATCCTCGCAACCAAAAGCTTTCTTTGCAAAGAACTTGTAAATATGATCCGGTGTTAGAATACTCAACTGCTCATCTGTGAATATAGTATCATTTGGAAATCGATTATCCCCATTGTCTCCTCCTTCATCCACTCTTCCATGTACATGGTCCATTAGCTCCAATAGAATCGTATGGTATCTTCTCCATTGCCCTGGCTGGTTCACATCTCGTGGAGGCGTTACAGCCCCCCCCCTTCTTTTCCGAGCCCGTACTACCATTTCTTGCTTGTTGCTTCTGTTTTTCGATAGTAGTTATTTGCTTGTTCCTCTTGCTGCTTGGGGTTTTGCTTGAACCGGTACTCGTATGCGATACTCGTATGAGATACTCAATACTCGTAGCTGTTATTTTGTGAGCAAAAAATGCACCTCTCGTGAGCCTGAGCAAAAAATGCACCTCTCGTGGTGGTGAGTGCTGCTGGTTTTCGATATTCGATACTTACAGTATTTGCTTGTTCTTGCAGTATTTCCTTTGTTCTTGCAGTATTTGCTAGTTGATTGGGGTTTTGCTTGAACCAGTCGTATGATCGTATGATTTGTGAGCAAAAAATTGTGAGCAAAAAGTGCACCTCTTGTGACGAGGCAAAGGAGGAGGAGTTGCAAAATTGTTGCATAGTCAGTGTAATTTGCTCTGTTTTAGGCAACCAAAAGAGGTAAGGATGCCACCACCACATCAGAAAAGCCAATACGGTTGCACAGTAGAATTCCTACCAAAATTCATGTAGGAATCGTAAGTACGGTGGTAAATGGAGTGGGATCAGTTGGGATATTATAGCCTACGTAAAACCCTACGTATTTTAAGTACTGACCGACTCCTTTGACCGTTTTGCAACATCGGTTGCAAAAATTGGATACTGGACAAGTACCCCATTTTTGCAACCGATATTGCAAAATGTTCAAAATTGGTGCGTAGGCAATAGTACGCTTACTAGACCCACTCTATTTACCACCGTACTCACATGTTCTACATATTTTGTGGTAGGGATTCTACTGTGCAACCGTATTAGCTCTTCCATTTTGGTTGCATCCGTACCTATTTTGGTTGCAAGAAAGAGTTAATTTTGTATGGAAAATGCAACCGTTTTGCAACTCCCACATGAAATATTCACTCCCGGAGACTCAGATTTTTCTTTGTAGTACTATTCAGTTCCTCTTTGCTCACAAAATGAAGCTCCTAATAAGCAAACCAGCAACTGATACGGAAGCTCACTGATACGGTGTCCGCTGATACGGTGGCCGCTGATACGAGCCGCTGATACGAGCCGCTGATACGGTGGGGTGGCCGCTGATACGGTGGGGTGGCCGCTGATACGGTGTCCCGCTGATACGAGTCGCTGATACGGTGGCCACTGATAGGGTGTCCCGCTGATACGAAGGGTGCTGATACGGAGGATGCTGATACGAGGATGCTGATACGGAGGATGCTGATACGGAGGATGCTGATAAGGAGGATCCGCTGATACGGAGGATCCGCTGATACGAGCCGCGCCGCTGATACGAGCCACTGATACGAGCCACTGATACGAGCCACTGATACGTAGGATGCTGATACGTAGGATGCTGATACGTAGGATGCTGATACGAGCCGCTGATACGAGCCACTGATACGGAGGATGCTGATACGAGGATGCTGATACGAGCCGCTGATACAGAGGATGCTGATACGGAGGATGCTGATACGAGTCGCTGATACGAGCCGGTGATACGGAGATGCTGATACGGAGGCTCACTGCTGATACGCAGGATGCTGATACGCAGGATGCTGATACGGAGGCTCGTCGCTGATACAGACGCCTTCTTATTTGCTAATTTGCTAACTACTTGTCCCCCCTACCCAATTCGGAGTAGAGAGCATGCATCCGCAGATCAGAGAGAAGAAGAATGATCAATGAATCAAAATTGAACTCTAACCGTCGCCGAGGGCTTTGTTTTAAGGGAATGAATCGATGACTTCATTCCCCCTAAATTAATTATTCGAACCCAACAAAGAACAGTCATATTACYGTACCATCCTTCATACCTTATGCGGTACGGTAGAAGTACGGACGATTTCGTATCGGAGAGTGATGCGAACCATAGTACGACTCAAAAA